GGATCCATCTGCACATTTTTTCATATAGCACCCCTTTAATCTTTTCCGATTTACTATAGTATATGATTCCAGTCATTATTCACTACTTCCATCTGGAACACAACTCTGACTTAAAAGATTTATTAACGAATAAATCAAGCGGCTGAATCTTTTTTGATAATTCACCCGGAATAATTGCCAATTTTGAATACTTGCCTAGTAACCATTTTCAGATCATCAGTAATATGCGCACGGCAAGAGTCCATTGTTAACAAGGATTTTGGAATGAAAAAGGCTTCATCTCCAAACAATTTCAACCCACATTTTCATTATATCTTGATTGACCCCCCTTCTTATTCGCAGTAATCAACATGTCTTTTGGAAACTTTCTCATAGACACTGTTTTTCTCATAAATATAGCCAAAGGATGAAGGCTGCCACCACTGCAAGTTGCAGTTAACACCACAGTAAAATTCGACTTATCATGTACAGTTGTGGAAAGTTCTTTCGATCCTTCTAAACGAACAGTCATTGAACCAGGGAGATCAAAGCTAACAGGCATTTGTCCATATTTCCAAAATATGCAGGATCCACACCACAGAAATTTTCTTTAAAGAAATGTTTAAATTTCCCTACATTCACTTTCCAGTCATAGAGTAGTTTTTGGCCACATTCGAGAATGAACGAATACACAAACTGCTTCTTTTCATAAATCTAAACTTCCATAATGAGTAAGCTCGAAATTTTTTATTTTTTCCTCCTTCGCAATCACTTTTGCCCTCAATAAAATATTGGTTGTTGACTTCGAATGTCCTTTAGATCTGTCTGAAAGAACCCACTCGAGAAGAAGTGTTTTTTCGAGCTCTGGACAAAAGCATCTCCTGTACGTCACTGTACGTTTTGTTCTGGTGTAAACATTTTAGAACTGCTTTTTCTTTCCTCCATTCACGTACACTGGACTTTTAAACATCAAATATCGTGGCTACCTCATGATTCCTTTCTTCTTTCGGAAAATTAACGACTTTCAGCTTAAACATCGCCGTATATGATTTTCTCAACACAATAATTTTTCTCTATGAATATTTTTTTCAGGGACAACTTTCAATTCTAAGAGCTTAACACTTGCAGAACACACATGTTCAAAGACCAGAAACAATGTGGTGACTCCTGTTAATTCTTCTGTTCGTTTGTTTTAGACACAGCCACAGCCATTCATATTATTCCATAAATCATTTGTCTAAAATCTGCCTTTTCTCAAACAAGAAATGGATTAAACACTCTCCATGCATTTTCATGAGCGTCAAATACTACAAGGTGCGCGTTATCTGTACATTTTGATGAGCATAAAAGATACAAAATGGCGATGGTGGTGGTTATCGATAGGAAAATTCGGTCTTTAGGACAAAAGTCTCGATTTTGTACCATTCTTTGAAAACTAGAATCAATTCGCATCATGTATGGCTTAATATAGAGCTACTGAAATATGTAGTGGTAGAAACCAGATAACACCGTGATCGGAAAATCTAAATGCTTAGGTTTTACCTTTATTTTATTCAACTGCATCACACTGACGAGATTGAGTATCTGAAGAGATATCAACTTGTAATGATTGAAATCTCAAGGCAATATGGGTAGATTCTTTAAGGCAGCAGTCAAAGAATTCATGCTTTCAAGCTATATGCATCATAGTCAGGAACGATGTAAATATTGCCTACTATGGCGCAGCGCATTTGTACGTAGGCAATAACCTTCGCCAGAGGATGTCAGAATGGAAGGAACATTTCGCCGCTGGATTGGCGCCTCAGCCAGTCCATGTATATGTGATAACTCCGCCCCCTCGAGATTTCTTCTTGGAAGACCAACCATATCGAAACGGCTGGAAGTCGTAAAGGGACATGGCCAGATCCTCTGTCTCTTCCAGGTGCTATTACTCCTGAACCTGGAAAATCGACGGGTTGGCAAACTGTCGGAGCTGCAACACGATTCAATCTCATTAAGCCTATTTCCAACAGAACGGATGTTCGACGAAAAAATGAAGAAAGCAAGTACGCTCTTCTCCAGCTTGTTTTGCCTACCTGCAATGCGACAATTCCGTCAACATTATCAAGTCACGTAAGAGGCCCCTGTTATACCAAATTTATGAATGTTTAGGTAGGCGACTAGTAATCACCAAGTGAAGAAAGTCATCGTAGAATAGTATGCTCCTATCTATGAGCTGCCGATAACCAGAGCATACAGTAGATACCATTATCAGTGAAGCACAGCGAACAAAGAGTACAAGAAACATAAGAAAATTACGGCTTGTCATGAGGAACGGCGCGACTGGAAGTAGCAAATGTACTCAGTTCTACTTCGATCTGAAAGGAGGGTTCAAAAAGTGAGGTGGATGAGTGAAACTGTGGAAAACAAAAGCACCCGAGAGAATCGACCACTACTTACCACGACGACCAACCAATCAACGAGCAAGCAGAATGTGGGAAAAGGCTTATCAAGAAACAGGAAAATAGGCATGGAAAACTGGAAATTAACTCAAAGATAAAACATGAGAACATCAAACAATCCGAAAAACATACAACAGGCTACTTACCGCGCCGGAAAGGACCTTTGGAAATTGATTGGACGAAATTTAAGTGGATCGTCAGTGATAACGTGAGTTACTAACCGATTTTCATGACGCTAATTTGTGATTGGTCTAGGTAATATGAGTTACCTTGTTATTCGTTAAGAATTAGCATTGACTTTTTCGTATTACACTAATTTACATTATAGAAGTAAAATGCAGTTGGGTAAAAAGCCAAACCTGATGATCTTTTACAGTAACTGCTATCCACAATTCGGTTGCTGGCGATGCCGCTTCGCTTTTGCTGATACGCTAGCAATGTTTAAAGAAAAGGGGTTTTAAGAGACTTTTGTCGTAAACTCAAGGCTATGACATAAAGAAAATAATATTATTTTATCAACAGTGGTGAAGAACCTGAATGAATTTCCGACATCCACTAATTACTCTATGCTTGTGATTTTTTTCCTATGTCTTATTTAGCTTCTATTGGTAATATTCTTGTATTAAAATAAATTTTATGCTTCACACGTATAAATTTTATATGAAGGTAAACATTATAGGCGGATCTTGCGACTTACCATGTGCGAAATTCCGTACGAACTGCTGAACTCTTTTGGAAAACTCGCTATTATCGGTGAATGTGGAAAACTCGAACGGCTGACCGAGACAGTCTCCAGCTAATCCACCAAGCATGCATCCCCTGAGTTTTGAAAGCGCCGGAACAGTGCACGATAAATCCATCACTAATGACAGCTACTTTTGTCGCAGCAGCGTCATTTGGAAACCTTGTACACGTGTGACAGTATGAATCAGAATTTGGATGAACCGGTTGTTTGCTGACACCGAGAGTAGATGTAGGAATTCAAATTCGAACCTCTAAAAATTTCTTGACAACTGCCTAATGGAGTACAAATGCATGCTCTTAAATCTGTTTTTACGTTGTTTTCAAACCATGTAGTGATTTTCAGCCATCTGACTGGATGGATTGGACGTATACAATGTAGATTTCTGACCGTATGGCCCTACGTCATATACACAAGATGACTGTGTTGTCCTTATTCTTGGCCTTTTCGTCGACTTGACAAGATTCTTGAGTGGCTGTACCGAAACATGGAGCACAGTATGGTAGTTTCCTGGCTCAAGGGAATTAATAACAGATTACGCCGCACTAACATGCAAACAACTACCCAAATGCAACACAGAAGCTACCCCTGCCTAGATAGAGAAAGGAAACGAAGCACAAACAATCAATTTACTATGGTTTCACGAGGAAAGATGCTATTTCCACCGCATAGCCTTTATGACAGTATTAGATTAGGTTTATTTTTAACTGTAGTAAACAGCTATTATACACTTTGCAGCAGTTCCATCACTCCGGAAAGAAAATTTGCAGCGATCAGAAAACAAGAATACTTCATCTTCAACAATACTGTACAACTCTGCACCTAACTTGTCGCTGAATTCATGAAGATCCCTTCAAAATCCGGATCAGGTGACGCAGTATCGAAGTTTTGAAGGCCTCAGTTCAAGCGTATATTGGATTCAGACTTGTAGCGTGAACCTCACCTTCGATCTGCAACTGACCACCATATCGTGCAAGTGCTCATATGGAACTGAAAGAATGTTGTTCGCGACGGTTTCACATGTCTATCAAACGTCGTCAACGATTACCGAGGCGATCCGTAAATATGTTAAACCAGGTTCTTTGGTAGATCTTCTTAAGCTGTGTCATAAAATAAAAATCATCTGCCAAAAGAACCCCAAAAACTATTGGAGCTGTAAGGAAGAGCTATGCAGTTATTTGATTTTTAGGTACTGTTGTTTCATGCAATAGTTTCCCACAACAAAACGATAATTTCTTGAAAAAATGATGAAACAAAAGCAGTGATAAAAATGAATCCATCTTAGTTTTGAAAATTTTCGTTAGACCGCTAGTCGTTAGATAAGCATGCCATTAATATTTAGGCTTTATAGCATACAATCACGATAGTATATTTCAATATGAAAGCATCAGGAAGACCTGTACCGCAGCCACACAGAATTTCTTGCAGCTCGACTTACTGCTGCCGATATTTTAGCATAGACAGGTCAAGTACCTCCAGAATAATGTTATTAAACAATAGGCACTGGCGTACGGCAGAAAATAGCGTGAAATAGAATGTTGTGCTCAATTCGGAAAACACCTATTGTAATCGGATTTAATATAAGATTTTGAATTAATGTATGTCCATTTTTGTGATTCTAATAAACAAAATCTGAGTAACGTTAACCGTGTAATGTGACATTTTCCCGTTCATGAATTTCGAATCAACGAAGTTTTTGACTATATGCACAAAACATTGTATGTCTTGCAAACAAAAAACGTTCATTTGCGTTTCCGAAAGAAACATGTTAATTACAGAAACCGCAACTGGTAAAGCGATACATTTATAAAGTAATAAAAAGTTTAACAAACAATCTCCTATAAAGTAGCAAGATGATCTTTGACTTGCTGCTGGGTCATCAAATGAAAGCCGCTTTTATTGCAAATCCCGATTTCAACGTTAGCCTCCGTCATGCCAACGTCAAAACTTTCTTTCAATGCTAGAAGGGCGGTGTGCACAGCATCGTCCAGTTCGAGAGTTTCAGAGTACCTGAAATGCTCTGTTTTAAGGGCGAAGCTACACAGCGTTTAAACAAAATATGTAACGGGGACGCAGGCCTGATATTGCGACGAACAAAGATATAAACACGATTTCGAAGCTACTGTCAAGCTGCTCTACAATCGCAAAAAATGTTGAAATTTAATGCATACTAAGTATTAGCTTCTGTGAAATTCGACTGTTTCGAAACAACTTTATGTTTTACTAATTTCAGAAATTAAAATAATCATTTATGGTAGCAGAAGAACAATAAGACATATTCTATCTTTGCTTTGGTAGTCTTACTGAAAAGCAGCGAATAAAGGTTTTCCTACAATACAACTGATCTATAGGCGATCGATTAATGACGTTTTGACCCATATCTCACAGCCCTGCATATAATGGCAAATGAACGTTTGCGATTGCTGACCAAGTTAATCTCAGCCGCTGCTTCGTCTTGAGCCAAGAGGCGGCATTCGAACTTTGCTCCTGCTTAAGTAATCTTTTTGTCGTTTCCCTCCTCCACGACTTCAACAAGAATTCTGAGGTTGAGCCGTGGTGTGAAGAGCGAATGGGGATAACAACAGAAAGAACACGCAAATAACGATAAAGGAATAATGGATAAAGTAAACAGGTTACCGTTTCTCCATAAAGGTGCGCCCGTTGATATAATTTTTACCCAGTGCTGTTGCCTTCCACGCAAAGTAGGCACCCTAAAATAGAATTTTAATATGCTTCTTCAACAGTGCTGACCAAATACATAAGAGTGACATGAATAAACTTTAAAGCAGGTCGCATTCACACGGGTTTACCGTCAACCTAGGTGAGTGTGGTGTTTCTTCATTCCTCTAAACACACATCAGCCTTGCCAGAGGAGAAACCAGTCTAATCTAGATACGCCGGTCAGCCGATTTAAAATGCAAATTATTCTGGTAAGAATGGCAGGGGAACATGATCTGATCACCTGGTTTACGTCATGGCGAAGAAAGCTAACTTCTTCCTTTACTGCTTACTCTTGTTTGGAGCCTCCTTTAATTGGCGCCGGCAATTTATAGGCGTACTACATAACGTAAATTACGACCTATGCTTCTCAAGTCTATTTTTGGAGCTTAAATGGGAGGTACTTTTGCGTTCTTGTAACGATGGATCAGGATAATCGCGGGATACGGATGACTGTCATACGGTGTCGTGGTTAAAACCGTTGTACAAACTGTTTTGGCAGTTTTGTATCCTTCGCTGAACGAGTATTGCAAGGTACCACCGACCTACTTCACACAGATTTAACACCCTGCTACTCTCAGAATTCCGGTACATAAAAAAACTTCATCATCCCGAAAACAAGTGAGCTGTACAAAAGCCCAGTGATGTCACTGTTAATTCATATCCTCGCGAGTCCTTCTGCCTTACAGTGTCATCTTTTGGTCTTTACAGATAAGAGTTATCATGCTGCTGTATGCTGTACACCAGCGTTCAAAGCAGAAAGAAGCATCTTCCTGTACAGCATTAATAAATAATGGATAATAACCATGTCGCGTACCGAGGGATCACACTGGAACAGGTAAGGCCGGTTGTTGTCCCAACCAGCAATCAACAGCGACACACCAAACGGTCTTACGCCACTATAACATATTACGAGAAGTCAAAACACCATACAGAAATTGTACAGGTTACCAACCCGGTTTGCGTATATTCCTGCATGATTGCTGAAACCTTCTGCACCAACTGTATGGTAGGGATCGGCTCGCCATACATGAGCCAGTATTCCTGAGCTGCCTTTCGAGCATTTCTAGCCAACACTCTACAAAGAACATGATCAGTTGAAACGAAACTAAAAAACGGCTGTCTGGTACAACATTCAATGACTTATCCTGCAACCATCTATTTCCCTCCTGACCGAAAAAGACAAGAACTGCTACATGGAACGTACCGAAAATCCGGACCCATTCCGCTGTAAACCATTCCAATATTTTCAGAAATTTGTTCGATCTTCTGAACGCAATGTTCTTCGTAGAGTATCGACTTCATTTTGTTCTCGGCAGCTAACACAACACCGTCTTTGCCTGCAATTTAATTAATTAAACCAGGCAGAAAATAGTTCAAAAAACGACAAACAGGTACTATGCACGCAGCAGTACAAGTAAAGCAGCTATTTCATACAAAAGAGAATCAATCAGGTAGTAATCGAAAACTATGCCTCAAGATGAATGCATTAGGACATTAAATCGCGTAAGTTGCTCCCTTGCTGATACTTCGTTTAGTCTGAAATGAAAACGACCAAACGATAACGATCAGGTAAAGAAAAGAATATTACAAGTGTTCATTTAACAACAAAAAATAAGTTATAATGAGCAATGTGCACGTGACTGGAAATTATTAGACAATCGTCAGTGGTGCATGCACTGACGCATTTTTGTCTATGAAAAGAATTTGCCAATAAGAAAGCCAAAAGAAAGGATTGCGGATCACCGTTAATACTATTCTGTAAAATACACACACTGAAATCATCTTATCTTTTACTTACGGAGCAAAACAGTGGCTCATGGGTAAGAATTAAAGAAAATCTTAACACAATGTTGGTGTCAGGAAATGGACAGAAAATAAAATTTACAACTACGATGGCTGAAACGTCAAAAATTCGGCGCAGCAAGTTTCGCACGTTTTAAGTCTTCGCATCATGTCCGAATCTGAGCAGAGGACGATGTCGCTATCATAATTTATTATATTCAACAACATATAGTAAATAACAATCACCTACTCCATATGATTAATTTGAATTAATCACATAATCCGCTATGTGGCTTTCCGTCGCCATGAGTACGCCGTTCTTTCTGTATCGTCCGTTATCACTTACCAAGTAAAATAGCCATCAGTTGTTCGCAGTGTGTTCCTGCACGACTGAACCTATGTCTGTGGTCCAAAGGAAACCACTTTGTAATCCTTGACGTCCATCGATTATTCCTTTAGCGAGTCACATGTTCGTAATTATATAATACAACTCATAATTCGAACAGAGACAACCGTGAGCATTTGTCATCAATCTGGAAGAAAACGTCTAAGGAACTGATGAGGAAGAACAAGACTGAATTCATCTAAATCCCTGAGTACAGCGTGTAATCCCTAAGCAAATCGTTGATCGGCAGAGCATAGGAGGACACTGCTGACACTGATTATGCCTGACTTATTATGTCATATATTAGCTGTTGAAGATGGATCCACCTTGATCAGAAATGTCGGCATTTTGTTTAATAAAATCTATATGCTGAGTAAGTTCTTTGAAGATTTTTGCGAATATCCAAAAATTATTATATTAGGGCGAATTTTCTCTAGCAGGGAATTCCTTCCACCATGCTTCAGGCATGCGAGTGAGAAATATGGACCAAGTGGATGACATATGAACAACAGAGAGGAAGAAATTCTTATACAGTCGCTACTGTATCATAAAATACGTAGATCTTGCACGCGTTTCGCTCTACACAAACGATGTCGAAAGCTGCGCATGGAGTAGCAGGGATGTCCGAGGGGAGCCCTGAGAGCTCCACTGCAGTCATTTAAAAACATACGTAATCATAATACCAACAATCACGAATAAACCGGTTATCTACTTCAAGAAATAAATATACTCACATTGGGCTTACGGCTATCACCCCTGGTTGACCATGATTCAAAATAATTATATGGTTATTTTCAACTGTTACCACAATTATTCATTATGGTAGTAATGACGACTCTAAAGGGTTTACTCGCACAGCAACATTAAATACGCGCTGCCCAATGCAGAATGAACCTTCGAATTTTATCATGAAGAATATTATTCCGCAAGAAGAATTCATAAAATATTTTGAAAACTGCCATGATTAGGAATTACTGAATATATCATGCATAGTATAATTCACAGTAACAATTAAAAATAAAAATCAGTAACCACAAAAAATTATTTAAAAAAAATAAATACACCGTATGTTCCAGGGAAGCTATCACACAGCAGCTTTGCAACGCTGCCGGCAATCATAATATTTCCTTATCTAATATCAGATCTACTTGGCGCAAGCGCACATTCCCTTCGCAGGTGATCGCCTAGAGGGTCATTCACCTAGGCCACG